CGATGTATGCCTGGGTTATTTTGTCGTGGTGGACGAAGGCTGGCATTTCAAAGGTACGGTTTGCGTATCCTTCCTCTTCTGCACCCCATTGAAAGTAGTCCGGATTAGAGACTGGTTCGGTTTCTTGTTCTTCCTCCTCTTGCTTGGCTTCAATGAGTATTTTTTAATGTCGTTCACTGCTTCTTTCAAGACCTCTTGTATGCTTGACTCTTGTTCCGCCTTCTCTCTCTGCCGGGTTTTCTCCATATTGACGGCCATCATTGCAGCGTCCGCTTCAGCTTTCACCTCTAACAGCCGGGTGATTTTTGGTACGTTGTTTCGCGGGCTTCTTTGAGAGCCGCCATCTCTCTCTCTCTCTGGTGTTCCTCTCTTTCTGCTTGACGCCGAGTTACCTCTTGGACTCGTGCTGTTTTGATTTGTGCTAGTAGGTTTTCCATTTTTGTGGTCGCCGCTGTTATTTCGACCAGTAGTCTGGTGTTTTGGGCCGCTTCTGCTTGTTTATCTGCCCTCTGTGCTTTTAGTTCGTCCAATGTTTGGGAGATGAGGCCTAGCATCTCGATTCTGTCCGAGGTGGCTTCCTCCTTTTCTGCCTGTTGATCGTGCAGATTTCATTCCGGATTTCGGTCAGTTGTTGCGCTATTTCGTCGTCTTTAGCGGCTGGTCTGGCTCTGTGGTTTGGTCTTGCTGCGCTTGGCTGGGTGGGTCGCCTTTTGCAATCTTTCAAGTAGGGGCAGCCCTGGTATCTGGCGCTATGTGGTCCTGAACAGTTGGAGCACCTTCTGTTCATGTTAGGTTTTCTAAAATCTTGATCAACTTTGGCTAGGGGGCACTCTTTGAAGTCGTGCGCCCCCTGCGCAGTAACGACAAGTGGGTCCGCTGCGACAGGTCGCGGCAGTGTATCACGCCCTATTGCACCGAGCGCACTGCTGGATATCTAAATGGTAGTTACCCTGCTGCTGAGTCCTTCCTTGGGTGCTTGAGATCGTCAGTGGCCTCGTGAATGACTGGGCCGCTGGAGCGTCGGTGGCACTGGATGTTGGTGGCTGGGGTGGTTTCTCGGCTTCAGAGGTAATGATGGTTGCTGCTGCGACACTGACTTCTGGAGTAGGGCTGACCGGTCTTTGGGTGATCAGCTCCTGGCTCTGTTCGTCTGAGGCTGCGACTTCTGGTACTACCGGGACTGGCTTCCTTGGTGAGGCGGCCTTTTCTGGTTTCTTGGCTTTGCCCATTTTGTCAGGCAGGTGAATAGGCGGTACCTATGAGGTGTCTACCGAAAGCTCGCTCCCTGTAGAGTCTGGCAAGGCTCGTTAAGTGTTCTGAAAAGGACACCGAGTGTGCTTTTCTCCACAGTTCACGAGACAATCGTTCTACAGGTGAATGCTACACTGGCTCCTCTACAATGATGTGCTCACGGGCCGCTAATGACCCAAATGCGGACGATACCGATAGCTTAGTCGAGCCAAACTCAGCCGAATATCAAGCGAGTCTGACCAGTATTTAGCTATCGATAATCAGGCTACGAATGGGTAGTTAGCGAGCAAACGAGAGACACACGTGGCTGATAGGGCGGTTTGAGCGAGCGAGCGAGAGCTGTGTGCCGATGGATGGTGGTGGATAGATGGATGCGGGGTCTGAAGCCTGGATCTCCTGTTTATATACTGTGCATGTTAGCAGGAAGCGGTACACTGTTTTCCTGTGTTTTTCTAGGCATAAGGGTGCTGTGAATTTAGGCTTTCCGGTATCCAAGTCCTAATCTTCAGGTTGTCTTGAGACTTGTGATGTCTGGATGGGTTCTCTCAAAGGTTAGCATGCCCGCCTTGCCCGTAGCAATCATTGCACATTGTCTCTTTCGCATACCGGTAATATAGAGGTTATCTCCTCCCATTACAAAAATATGTAGAAAGGTTAGCGTCCCGTACCCAATGTTTTCTATGTGTCGGCGTCTGGTGGTGGTGGTAGTGGTGGTAGTAGTAGTAGCTGCAAAAGCAGCTACAGTAGCAGCAGCAACAATACTAAATCTCATTAACATAATTGAAAGCATCAGTATTCACTGCTACAACCACGCAAGTGTTTCATGATTCATATTTTGCGACACAACCTCAGCTGGGAGCCTAAATCGATCGGGGCTGCCAAAATATATTTTTGTCAAAACCCAAGATGTGGCTAACAAAACCCAAGACACGAACAACAACACCCCCCCCCCCCCCCTTCCCGGAAAAATAATATTTTTGTAGTATTTAACTAAACTCACCTTTATTAAAATATCACTCTGACAGCTCTTCTTCTTCGCTAGTTTCAGTTGATACGGTCTCTTTCTGCTTTTCAAAGCAAACATTATCTTTGCTATCTGTTGGCTTTCTGTAGAGGTAAATCGAAATGTATTTACACTTGCTTTAGCAGTCTCGAAATGCCTCACATGTTCAACAGAATCTATATGTTTCGATAGCTATGCTCTATTTGCCTTTCTGAGAGCCACTTACAACATTTAAATTTAACTATAAGTAATTATCATTGCTGTCATGTTTTAGTCAATCCTGAAATTCCGCTTCAGCAATCCATCATCATGTATCAGGTCCTTTGCAGAACGTCGCTCTTATCACAGTCTGCCTGAAAGAAACTCGGTCTCTCGCCAGTTCTCCTGCCTCATGTACTTTCATACTCAAGGAGTCACCTATATCCTGTACCCATCTTCGTGTCGGTCGGCCCCTGCCCCTCCTTCCTGGTACCATGCCTTCTGCTATAGTTTTTTCCAATCCGTTGTGGCGCCTCATATGACCAAAATATTTCAGCTTCCGAGAAAGGATGCTGTTTATTAGCCAATCTTCCTTGATGTTCAGATCTTTCAAGATGTCAACATTTCTCCTCTTCTTTGAGAATCTTTCTATAGCATTTCAGCTCAAAAGCCCCTATTCTCTTTCTTAAAGACTGAGAGATAGTCCACGACTCATATCCCTATGTAGCCACAGGTAAGATGCATGCTCTCACAATTCTAATTTTTATCTCCTTGCTGGTGCTTAACCATAGACTTTTAAGGCTGTTCAATCTTTGCATTGCTATAGGGGAGTCGCCGTGTCCGAGCGGCTAGACGCTCGTCGCGGATCAGAAGGTCGTGGGTTCGCTCCCTGGTTTAGCCGGACTTTTTTCAAAAATGACCTTGGCTCCCAGGTCGACCCAGCCTTGAGTGGGTACCGGGTGCAGTCCCGGGAAAGTAAAGGCGGTCGGTGTGATGCTGACCACATCAACCATCTTGTGCCAATTGGTCTATAAAAATATAGGTGTAGCCCTATATGCCCTATACGCGTAAAGGCGTGGAAAAGGGTCCTCATCATCAAAACTATTATAGACATATGTACACACATTATTCTTGTTAAACTATTTAATAATTGTAGTCTCTTTCCACCATCAATAAGACTGAAAACCCTAGATTTTTCAATAATTTTTAAAATAAAAACCAAGAAAACCAAACGGCAACTAAACACCCGGATCTTGGGGAGAAAACCCCAGCATTGGCAGCCCTGAAATCGATACAATGCCACAAACTGTCTGGGATTCTGAGATCGGAAGTCGTAATATCCACAACAGCTGCCGGCCGTCACTAAGCCGATGTAAATACTAAATAACACGAGTAAAATCACACCACAAACAGTTTCAAACTAAAGTGTTGGTTTTTCAGAAGAAAGAGTATGATATTAAACTAAGACATCTGTGCTATACTTGCACTTATAAGGTACTGCAGAGAATATCGTCTATTTGGGACATTCATTATACATTATTTTAATAGTGAATAATTATTAATTATAATAATATTAATATATTAATATTTAATATAATGTTAAAAAAACTAAACCAAAATCGTTTTAAATTTAAAATTCAAATCTCAGATACCTGCTAAACCTTATGAAATGTCATTTAATGCCATATATATATATTTGTATTTCTTACTTGCCGTCTAATGTGACTAATCATATTCATATGTAATACCACGAGCTTAGATGAAACAACATGTGTAAATAAGAATGTGTGAACGAGGAACTAGGATTAGGTATTGATCAGGCAAATAGGGAGAAGAAGACAAACCCGAGTTTGTTAGTTATAATCACTGTGCCACGGGAACACTTAGCATCTTTGTTGACATTTGTTGCGGGAGGCAAAGCACCTATGATGGGTATATTCCTGTGTGCTATCCTGTGGATTCGTAAAAAATAAATCAGTATTAAAAAAAACAGGATACTTTTGACACCCTTGTTGGCACATCAGGAACATGGTGTTGTTAGACCCATATTTTGTATTGTCATTAATTCTGTCCAACAGTGTTTGACAGGTCTGGCTTATTCGTATGCAGACTGTTGGTTTTTTTTCCTCTCAGGCAGATGCACTCTGACTTCAAAGGTATCATCTCTAACTAGTTTACTTCACCACAAGCTTGTTAGGATAGGTAGTGGATAACAGGTAAAGTAAAGGACCCCTTTCCACTTCTTCAGATGTATTGGACATATAGGGCTAGACCTGTATTTTATAGATCAATCGGCACTTGGTTGGTGATGTGGTCAGCATCACTCAAACCACCTTTACTTCCCAGGACTGAACTTGGTTCCCATTTAAGGCTGGGTCGACCTGTGAGACAAGGTCTTTCTTTTTGTTTGTTTTAAAGTCTGGCTCCATCAGGACCTGAACTGAACTCACAACCTTTAGATCTGCAGGTAAGCAACTAGTCGCTACACCACAGTGACAGCGGCGCTCGGAGAGGCACTGGGTCTATTCTCCCCCGTCCCATCCCCCACACAGGGAGCCAGAGAGTGTGAAACTTTAACCTACCAGTACCAACCAAACATAGCGTAAGACAATATTTGATGTTAGCAGGGCCGGATTGAGATTTGATTTTCCAGGAAGCAAATGTAATTAATAATTTGTTTTGTTTCTGTACTGAACAATATTTCAATAATTAATCAGATAACTATTCTTCTTCTTCAGGAATTTATAAGGCAGAATTTTACCTTGAGATGGCTGTGTATTCCTGCCGTTGCATCAATGTTATCATTTTTGCAGAGAAAGTTAAGGTAGATGCAGGTAAGGACTAACATGCTAGTGTACACATGCAGGTGAAAATGACTTGTTTGTACAAACCCCAACTGCTTCAACATGATGACAGAAGAAATACAATCTGGAAATAAAGTAAACTATACCTCCAACACCTGCTAAAGTCAACGTGTCTGTCTCGCAACACCAAGATCAAAATGAATAAAATGTGTATACGACAAGTCATTTTACGTGGCTCTGAAACTTGGAACACAACTAGAAGAGGTAAAGCCTTATTACAAATTTTAGAAAACAGAGTCTTAATCTGCGACAAATCTTTGGACCCATCAGAAATGCAAACAGCGGGAAATGAAGAGTGAGAAGCAAAAGCGAAATTCATAAACTGTTTAAATCACCATTAATCACAGGCATCATGAGAGCTAATAGACTGAAATGGCTAGGGCATATTGAGAAAATGTCTGATGATAGAGAGGTAAAAACTGTTTACACAAAGAAGTTGAATGGTCGTAGGCCATGAGGCAGACCAAGAAAATTATGGAGAGATAAAGATAATGTCCAGACAGACCTGCATTACTTGGTGTCACCAACTAGAAAAAGAAGGCCAACCAGAGAGATAAGTGGAAGCAGATGAAATCTGCAATAATGAACCTTAAGGGCTCGGAATGCTGAAGAAGAAAAATAATATTGCACAAATGTTGTACTATATCTATATATTTTCAAGTAATCCTTAACGCCAGGTCAGCCCAACATAAAACAGGTGCCTGCAAATTTAATTGGAAATAAAGAGACATATAATTACCATAGTAATGCTGGAAATTACCTTTTGTTGTTATCCATTTGTGCAAGAGGGCTTTAAATGAAAATCTTAAAAGTGTGATAGAACTTATAATAGCCATGCTTGAAACCTGTCAATGTTATTGTGAGGGATGTCAAGAGTGTTACACACATGATGTCACAGTGGAGAAGAACGGGTTGGCATCATCGTGCAAATTTAAAGATGGGTACCCCACTTTTGACACACACCAACACATTTTTTAAATTTTTGTTCGAAACCCTTTTCATATTTTGCTTAAAAAGATGTTTTACTAGCTTTGTTTGATATCTTTCATTAGTCTGCTGCAATAAAATACCATCAGCCTTATCCTGCTATGCCATTTTAAAATCTTCTATGGCTAACACGTGTGTGCAAGTGGGACATGAATGATGCACGTATTGAGGTGGACTCATGGAAACAAAATGCCATGGAACGTGGTGTGTGGAGGGGGGCACATCAGAAAGGGAATGAGAATGATGGAAAAAGTGATCGCATAAGGGATGAGAGTTGAGCGACGGAGAAGAAACACACTAAACAGAAATGTTGACAACAGTGGTCCTTAATTCCTATGCTATAATTGTGGAAGACTTTTCTTAATGCGAGGGGGGGGGGGGAATTTGCTAGTCACATTCACTATCCCCATGGGTTGTGAGTCCCATGCCTCCTCATAGTGCAATATAACACTGTCGTCTGGATAGACAGAAAGGTGCCAATCAGGGCTGGCAGTATATTTCTTCATTCTCTTCTTCTTCCTCTTCTGTTTAGTCTTGGTCAAGGTTTCAACTTCACTGCAATTGGGTTACCCCATACTTGCTCCGTTCCTGTGCCAGTAAAAATCAGATGAAATGTCCCTCACTGTCCCATTTGAAAAACTTGTGAACAATTAGTCCAGGAACAGTCCAGAAATATGCACACACAGAAAATGCATATAGCAGTTTAGCATTCACCTACTTAAACTCCAATTGTATGATCTGGTTGTTCACTTCTGGAACAAGAAAAGAGTCAAGAAGGGAATGAACAACGAGATCATTCATTGAAACACTTCCTTCGTGGCATGCCTAAAAGTCTTTCTTTCTCTGACCAGTTCTGCACCTCTGTGTGCTTTCATAGCCAATGAATTTTCTGTGTCTTATATCCAGCTTCTTGGAGGTCTTTCTCTGCCTCATTTTCTGGAAACCCCATCACCGTTCTCTCCAAGCCACCGTGATCCTCAACATTGCTAAAATACCCCAGCTTTCAGCACAAGATGCTGTTTGTAAACCAGTTCTCTCATATGCTCAGATCATGTAGGATGTCAGTGTTTTTCTTTTTGGTCCATAGTGGTCTGAGAATGTTTCTGTGCCATTTCAGTTGAGAAGCTAAATGTGTGCCTTCACTGAGGGAATAAGTGATCCATAGGTTGCCATACTGCACGACCGCAACATTTTTATTTTAACTCGCTTTCAGGTGCCATAGGTTTTTCAGCTTCCGTTTCTAGGCATTAAAGAATGTGATGTCTCCCCTTGCTTTACACGGCTGAGATATTTGCAGATAACTAATGTTATTTGTAAATAATTTTTCTTTTATTTAGATATCATGGAGACCTGCCCTTTAGACTCTTCTAGTGAATCGGTAAATCTGGTTGATCAAGGATTTAAATTTGTAAGTTATTTGTTCTTGTTTTTTTTTTTTACAAATATGTGGTATTGTTGTGGGAAGCAGCCATAGTGTAGCAGCTAGACTATTCCCTGTGAATCTGAATTTCGTGGGTTGGTGTCCAAGCGAAACTGAACTTTAAAAAAAATTAAATTTGCTGCCAACTCGACTCAGCTTTGATTGAGCACTAGGGGAAGTTCTTTGAAGTAAAGGCGGCCAGCATGATGATGACCACATTAGCCATCGAGTGCCGACTTGTCTATTAAATATAGGTCTAACACTATTATGCTCAATACACCCCAAGGCGCGGAAAAGCGTCCGTTACTTTACTGTAGTTCGCAAGCACAAACAACGAGAAAAAACGTAACAAATTAATTGCTTGATCAATATACTGCAGCAGTCACCCAAAAATTCTTCGCGACTGATGTGGTCAGCATTACGCCAGCTATCTTTACTTCTCAGACGTCACCTCGTACCCATTTAAGGCTGGTTCCACCTAGGAGCCAAAGTAAATTTTTAAATTTTTTTTTTTTTTCAAAAGTCTGGTGCTATCAGCACCTGAACACATACCTTCAGATCCGAAGGTGAGCACGTAGCCACTATACCATGGTGGCTTCCTGTGTTCTAAAGTGCTGTATGTTACTTATGTGTAATTGGTCCAGCTACTTCGGCGTATAGGCTATTTATTATTGTTTGTGATTTTAATTTTGATGCTATTTGTGAACGCAACGCCCGGTTTCATTCCACGTGAAAATCATTGTGAATGTTCCAGCTTTCTTCTGAGGATCACAGAAGGAAAATCAGAGCACAGTTCACAAACTCTGTAACAAAAACAAGGACCAAATATACCAGTATCATGCAGAAAACAAATAGCTTTTCTAATTTTGAATTTTTGCTGGGACACTGGTCTGTTCAGCCTGCACTATTCAATGTTTAACGTTTGAGAGATTTTTAACACGCACATGGGTCAGTCTTTTTTTTCTCCCATCCTAATCTGGGAATACTACATTCACTCCTTTACCCTAGGATTTAGGGGAAATATGGCAGCTTCTTATTTTGTAAAATTCTAAAAATCAAAACAGTCAGCTGATTATATTGACCAGGTCTGCTTGGGGCAGAGGCAGAATCTGTTATATCACATCACCAGTTTTTTATTTTTTTTTTTTTGTTTTTAACTTTTCTCCTTTGAGGAGTGCAGACTGAAATTTGACACCCAGCCATATAAAAAAAAATTATCCTTACTGAATGTTTGTGCCAATTTTTACAGAGGTGTAGAGAGAGAAAGTGGTGAGGGGGTTGTTTAAAGAAGTGAAGGGGGAGGGGGTGAGTAAAAGGTAGAAAATTATGCAGGTGGGAGGGTAACATCAAGAGATGTACAAACAGCAGTCACTTAGAGTGTACAAACAGGACAAAAAGCATATTTGGAGGTGTGCCAATATGCTAATTGATGGATTCGGATTATGTAAATTTTTTTTCTGCAGGGTAGCATAGGCTTTTTGTTAATATTGTATAACCACCTCTTGATTACAATTCACAGCTTAATTTTTGGGGGGAAATACTACCACTTGTATTCAACTTGTTTGTGTAACATGGTGATTTCATTCTCAGGCGTGAGGGGAAAATTAAGGCCACTATATGCTTATGAGGAGATACTCTGCACCTCACCATGGGTGTCAGCTGGCTCTGTGCTGATTTTATAGATCCTCATGCAAGAATCCTGCACACATCATCATGTGCTACAGATAATAGCTCATATGAGCATACACCAATCTCTGTGGCAGGGGATCTTGAGGTTGGTGCCCCCCAGAGAAGCAGTACCCAGAAATCCTTTGGCTTTCGTCAATGCCTTATGGATGACATCTAACAAAACTAATTTAGACCATAAGTGAAGCCTGCTGGCTGAATATTCTACCAAATGACAAATCTCAGCTCAGACTGAAGGAGATTGCACCCGTTTGCACAGTCACTGAAGTCCCAGACCTGCTGGTGTCTCCCACAGACAGAGGACTGCTACCATTGGCCCCACTCCAGTATTTAGGAAAAATATGTCCATTGGAGTGTTCGGACCAAATGAGGAAGCTTTTCCAATCCTACTGTGCTAGATGTCCCAAAGCAACAACGTGCTGAAGGAGATTATGCTCCTTTGTGTGAGTATTAAACTCCTGGACCTGCAGGATGCCCCGTGCTTATCTCCAAAGGGTACAGCCTGTGATGAGTTGAAAACGCAACACATGGATATGAGATTAAGCATGAAGTGATGATTCCTTGGGTGAGCCCAAGATTCAGTGCATCATCTGTTGACTCTGCATTTATAGAAACCTCTCTCTCTCTCTCTCTCTCTCTCTCTCTCTCTCTCTCTCTCTCTCTCTCTCTCTCTCTCTCTCTCATTTCATTAATTAATCCTTTAAGATTGGCAAATCACATGTTGATTGGCACCTGAGACAACAGATCATGTCCTCGAAGACTGTCCCAAATACAAAATATCAAAGCACAACTTTTGGCCAAGAGAAACACCGGTGCAAGCCAAACTTTATGGGTCGCTGCCTGAATTACAGACAGTGGAATTCATACTAGAGACAACATTGCAGTTATAGATTATCTATTTCATGTGAATGAAGAAAAATATTTCCTTTACTTATGCTGTTTTGTAACAAAAAATTCTTTTCAGAGCCACAAGTGTCTAGTTCACCGTTTTCGAGAGAATGACTGGACTGTTTACATTTGTGTCCCATGTCTGATGCGAACACATGCTGTAAACAAAAATGCTAGAGTTGTGGTTGTCAGCTCAAGAATGAAGGTAGGTTCATCCAGTTATTGAAGTATTAACATCGATGACTCTTTGGCATGCACATACATTGCTGTGAACATTGAATCTTTCACCCCACAAATGCTAAAAATAGGCCATTAATCCCTATAATTTTCTTAATAAATCTCTTTTTTTTTAAAACGTTTTTATTTTGTCTCGGATATATTTGTTAGGTTCTGAATAACTAATTTGTAAAATTTGTCTTTAGCGTTTACATTCAAAGCCTGAATCCTCCTATCTATTTCCATAGTGAGAGTCTTAACTCTCACATCAATATAAGAAAATAGACAACACCAGTGATCTGTATAAATTGACCATTACTGCTATGCTCATTTTGCTCTTCCACATCATATTCAGCTGGAATGTTGCAGCTATTACCATATCAGGTCTTGTCCTTATCTTTTTGGTACAGCTGACATCATTACAAATGTGGGAGCCGGACTTATTTAAAGGTTTTAACTAGTTTTTTCCTCCTCCTTTTATTTTCTGTTTATTGGTAGGTACTTGGTTATTGTGGTTATTTAGGAGAATCTTGTTTTCCTCAGCATTAATTTCAATTCCATATTTACAACAGGCTGTCTCTAATTTAATAGTTCTTGGAGTTCTGCTTCATAACCAGCCAAGATATCAACGTTGTATGTGAAATGTAAATTACACAGTGGTCTTCTATGATGTTATATGATTTGCTAGTGTTTCTTTCGTGATGTTTTCCAAATACACATTGAAAAGGACAGTGGATAGTATGCAGCCCTGTCTCACTCCCATTCTGGCCTTAAAAATGTTCCATGTCATTTTGAATGAGTACTGCACTGCTTGCATGTTTGTAAAGTGCTTCAGTGGTGTCTTTGATGTTCTTATGTAAGTTGAAATATCTCATTATTTGCCAGAGCTGAGCATGCCACACACAAATGCCTCCGTAAAGTCAGGGGGAAAAAATGGAATAGGTCGCGTTGATGTTATAAGTGTTTTTCTATCATTGTTCTGACATTGAAGATTTGTTTTGTGGTGCTTCTGTGTTTCTGGAAATCCACCTGATTTTGCTTTCAATCTGTTAAGCATTATCTTTGGCATTATTTTTCTTGCGTGGGTGATAAGGCAATGGTATCACTGACGATTGTTTCCATTCAGTCGGCCATGTCTTTGTGACCCGAATTCTCTGGCACACCTCTGTCCTCACTTTAGTTATGCGAACTACCCAGTTTTTTAGAAGTTAAGCTAGGACATTGTCCACACTTGGCAGTCTTCCTTCTTTTAGTGAGTATATCGCCTTCTCAATATTTTCTCAAGTTATTTCATAACTTCTCTATTTTCCCACACAGTGTTGTCTGAGGCTGTAGTGTCAGGCTCTGCTTCTTGATTGTAAAAGTTGTAACAATATTCCATCCACCTCTCCAATGTTGCTGTTTTCTCATTAAGGATTTGTCTGTTTTTATCCCCTGTAATGGGTATCTTGGGTTTTTGTATTTGGTTAGTCTTTATTAACTCTTATGCTGTCTTGTTTTAGACCCACATCAATGGACTAACACTGGTTTTTAAATCTTTAAACTATGCTATATTGTTCTGTTACTGCTGGAATTTGCCTTTTCTTCTTTTTAATTTCCCGTCCCATATTGCATAATTTCAAGATGCCACTTGGTACCCATGTTTTACATGGTTTCTTTTTACCTAAGAGGATCCTAACCTCTCAGGCAGATGCACTATGACTTTAAAGGACATGCCCCTATTCAGTTGCTTTTTGTGGGGGGGGGGGGTGAGCCTATTCTTTTCTCTCCCTAAATTGGGTCATTTTGCCCACATAAAAGAAAATAGAAATGGAAGTAAGGTTTAAACAATGAAAGGATTGGTTGCATCTGTGTCCTTTAAACACATGTTGCTTGAATATTTATGCCAAGTTAGTGACTTTAAGTAAGCATGAAAAAATATGAGCTAACCTGCCACATAGGAACCCATTTTCTTCAGACTACTGTGGCGCTTGATATGGTCAAAATATTTCAGCTTCTGGTACAAGGTGCTGCTCATTAGTCAGCCTTCCTTGTTCATATCTTTTGGGATGTCAGAATGTTTTTTTCTTCTTTGTCCACAGTATTGTGAGAATCTTTCCATAGAATTTCTATGACTCACACTCGCATAGTAATACAGGGAATAGGCATGCTTTCAGAATATTGACCTTGAGAAATCTACATGTTGAAATTCACTACCAAACAGAAGATAGACCGCAGAAATATCAGACACTGAAGGGCCCGTTCCAGAGATCTCTTCCTGCCCTGATGCCCCTAGGCATTCCAGGAGTAGAGAAAGAGAAGAAGAAATTCACTATACAAATGCTAATCAATTTGCATGCATGAATACGTATGATTCTCTGTTTGCTTAAAAGTCTGTAGCTTTATTTTTCTTAAATCCATCTTTGCATTTTTAGACATTTAAAGTAGAACAACTTGATTCATGGGGAAAAAAGAAAAGGTCCATTTCCCTTTAGGCGAATAGGGGACATAGGGCTAGATCTATATTTTTATAGATCAATAGATAGATAGATCATTTTTGCATCAGCGCCAAATTCCGTACATCAGTGCAAGACGTTAGAGCCTACAGGGGAGCTGATATTGGCAGTGATCATAATCTTTGTATTGCCAAACTAAAAATTAAACTCAAGTCTCTACTTAAACCACCCAGAAATAAGAAAATTAACTTACAAGGCCTTTTGTCAAAAGATCATCAAAGCGCATTTAATGCAGAGATACTCACCACCTATGTAACCAAAACTAGTAATGCGGATACTACAAATAACATAGACAAAAATTGGGACTTTTTCAAGAACACACCGACGAACGCTGCAGTAAACACAGTTGGTTATGTACAAAAGCAGAAAAAGAAGTGGCTAAGCGACAACACTTGGTCAAAAATCCAAGAAAGGAAACAAGCAAAATTAACACTTTTATCCAAAAAAGACACATCTTTATAGGAAAAATACAGCACGCTAGACAAAGAAGTGAAATCAAATGCAAGGAAAGGCAAACAGAACTTCATACACAACCTCGCCTCCGATGCTGAAACAGCTTCCAAGATTGGAAACAACAAAGCCGTATTCCATATTATGAAACAGTTGTGCAATCACTCACCTACACTAAATACACCCATTAAAGACAAACAGGGTAAACTACTGCTATCCGACGACCAACAAACAAAGCGATGGGCAGAACATTTCAAGGAAATATTAAATAGAACAAATCCTGACATCATTCCCAATCTGGAAGAAGAAATTATTACACCGACACTAGTTGCCTCCAGCGAGTCATTCACAATAGAGGAGATCAAAACAGCTATTAAAAAATTAAGAATAAACAAAGCTACCGGAGAGGACAACATCTCAGAGGAAATGCTCAAAGCAGCGGATGAAAACACCCTGCATCATTTGCTCCAGCTGATGGATGAAGTCTGGCAAAACGAATACCCACCACAACAATGGAAAGATGGTGTAATCTTCAAATTACCTAAAAAAGGTGATTTATCCGATTGTAACAACTGGAGAGGCATCACCCTGCTTTCGATACCAGGGAAACTATTTTGTAGTATGCTACTAGAAAGATTGAAAAAATCCATAGATGAAAGATTAAGGGAAGAACAAGCCGGTTTTAGATCCAAGCGGTCATGCATAGACCACATCTTTACTCTTAGAATAATTGTGGAAGATTCTGCAGAATTCCAGTCGAAATTATTGATCAACTTTGTCGACTTTCAAAAAGCCTTCGACAGTATCCATCGTCCAACACTCTGGAAATTGCTTAACATCTATGGCTTCCCCATCAAATATATCAACATCATAAAATCTTTTTATAATGAAACACGATGCTGTGTAAGAACTGATTCCGGCAATTCTGACTGGTTCCCGGTGGAAACAGGAGTGAAGCAAGGCTGTGTCCTATCGCCGATGCTTTTTGGTATAGCAATCGACTGGGTCATGCGCAAGTGCATAAATAACGTAAATTTAGGCATTACATGGGTTGACAAAATTCTGGAAGACCTAGACTTTGCCGACGACATAGCACTCCTGAGTTCAGAACACACAGACGCCCAAGAAAAAATCAATCGACTCCAGAATTTCTCAGAACAAATTGGACTCCAAATTAACACCGCAAAAACAAAAATTCTAGACCTTACCAACCGTTCAGTTGATATCACGCTGAACAACAACAGCCTTGAAAAAGTCAACAGTTTCACTTATCTAGGGAGCAATGTCATCTACAGGAGATACCGCACCAGAAATACCATTTAGAATAGCACTGGCATCTAGTGCCTTCAATAAACTGTCCAACATCTGGAAATCAAAGACACTTAGCAAACACACAAAACTCAAGATCTTCAATTCTTGTGTGATTCCAGTACTAACCTATGGATGCGAGAGCTGGAAATCAACGAAAACTCTAGACACAAAATTAGACAGTTTCGAAAATAAATGCCTTAGAAGAATACTAAATTTCAAATGGTCAGATTTCCGAAATTAGACAGTTTCGAAAATAAATGCCTTAGAAGAATACTAAATTTCAAATGGTCAGATTTCCGAACCAATACACAAATAAGGCAAGAATCCAGGCAAGAGTATGTGTCTAATTTTATACGAAAACGCCGCTGGAACTATGTCGGCCACGCCCTTAGAATGGATAAATCAAGACTTCCTTACCAAGCCGTCATTTGGACACCACAGGGGAAAAAATCTCGTGGAAGACCAAGGGAAACTCTACGTAGAACTATCATCAGGGAAGGCCACTCAAACATCCAAGACCTACAACAGATTGCAACGAACCGCCATGCATGGAGAGTCATGACCTCTGCCCTATGTGCCGCACTCGACAAAGGAGGAAAGACTAATCGGCACAAGATGAGTGATGTGATCAGCATCGAATGCTGTGAAGTTGATTCTTAATTCAACATTCATGTGTATTATATGAAATAAGTTTTATACTTTGCCCTACTGCTTATCCGAAATAGCGCCACAG